ATTTGCTAAATGTAGGTATCAAATCATTGGGATGGTATAGCTACAGACCAGTTACTACATATTAGGTAATTGCCCCCTTTATTTTAGAACTGCTTTGGAAATGAAGGGTAAGAATTCAGACAATGGCACTGAATCCCAAATTATGCTCTCCAGACATTCTGTTTCCATTATGCAATTTTAATCTTACTTAACCCACTGTCATTAGGAATACATGGAAAACAATTTAATTTTGACAGTCTTACTCTAATACACAAAATAAAATATGCCATGTCTGATTTTGAGTGTGTGTGATACACCTAGGTATCTGGTGCTGAAGTGATGAGGAAATTATGGGTATTCACCTTGCTTTCTTTCTATTCTGTTTGATGGTAGTGTATGCTCAAAGCATGGAACTCATCTTTGCGTGGTGAGCTCGCTGCTGTATGTAATCATGTGTAGCTGAACTTCTTGGTTGTCTTATATGAGTCAGGTCTGAGTATCAGAAAATCCTCCATCTGTAGACTTAAGCAACCACAGTTCTAAAGTATTTGGGAGATTTTGCACTGTACTCAACATGCACAGACCTCTTTTCTTGTTGTTATGCCCTAAAAAGTGCAGCATGCCATCAATTTGCACAGCATTTCCATTATATTAAAATTATATGCAAGATATAATTTAAGAATCAAAGTTGAAGGCAAATAATGGGCCATTTAACACAAAGCCTTGGAGCTTCTGGACTTGGTATTTACAGGAGTCCTAGGGCCAAATCTCCTTTGGGTACCAAGAGTTCACACTATTTCCTTGAAGATTGTTATGTCTGCTGCCAATCCTTATTCCAGGAGGAAACTGTAGTGGAGATGTGATTGAAATTATTTAGCTTTAAAAAAAAAAGTGCTTACGGGCTTTTGCATTTACTCTAGAGCTTGCATGAGTTGGTAGAGAACCCTGCATTACTTAAAGGGCCCTGTTTGTAAGTTCCCAGGTGACTCCAAAGAAGGTGATGCTCTGCCTCTGGGCTCTCCTACTGTGAGCAGGCGCTGGCGTCCCTTCTGAGGGCTAGGCTTTGCCCCATTTGCTTCTGTGTAGGTTTTTTGTTTCTGAGTCTGAAGTTGGCCAGCTAGGGATAGGGGAAAGAGAGGCACCTTACGTGGTGGCTGGAGGCAGTGCAGCCACAGAGCTGTGTGTGAGACATCACAGAGTGTGATGGGATTGTTCAAACAGTAAAAACCAAGGGTATCCAAACTGGTTGGGACTAGTACAACTTGTCAAGTCCTCCATTAACTGTGCTATGCTTCAGTATGGTACCTTACTGTTAGTCTTCCAGAACTGCATGTCCCCATATTGCATCTCATGCTATGACACCCCCTCAACTCAGGATAGAAAAGTGTAGTAAACCCTATTCCAGGAAAACCCCACCCCTTTCCTGGAATACCTCACCTTATTTCATGAATGATCCTCCCCTCTATAAACGTTTGTCTGTAAAACTGAGTGGCCCAAAATACTTGGTGTTGTTACATTCTTCTGAGAAGCCCTCACTTCCTTTTGGGGGCTAACGTTTGCTCTGTAAGAGAACTTCTTCCTAATTCTAATTCTTTGCTTCCTGTCCGGCCCCCCCCCCGCCCCACTAATTATTTCTCTGATCATGACAAGAAGTAGGAAGCACTAGATAGAAGTGACAGTTTGGTGTCTGAGACCTTCCTAGTCTTCATCAAACACAGCAACTTTGCTGTTGGAAATGCCCATGGGTACAGTGATAGAATCCCAAACACAGGGAAATTGTTAAGTGCCTTACAGAGAAAGTATGCACGTTAGATTTTGTGTAAATATGATTTCAGACATGCACGGCAGGCTGTGAGTTCGGTGGAAATTGATCTTTAATGTGTATTAAACAGAACATCCTTAAATAGAAACACACATGGAACAGGTTTATGTGTTGATGAGTTGATGAACGTTTTTCAACCAGAGGCTCACAACAATGCTATGGTAGTCATGGAGACTTTTCAGAAAGTGTACCATGATGAATGATGAAAACCACTGAACTCATTTCTTTTTACTTTCTTATTCCCATGGTGACAGTAGCAATCTGGTATCAATTCAAAGCTGATGGAATTGTATGTGTATTTATGCACATATATGCATGTCTCTGAGTGTATTTGAGCTGTGGCTTGCTGGTATCAATCTGTAGTACTGATTCCTCTTTGGAGAAAATTCTCTCTCTCTCTCTCTCTCTCTCTCTCTCTGTATACACAAAGCCACAAAGCCGTTTTCCCCATTTTAAAACCAAAAGTCTTCTTAGGTGATGGCTACCTATGACATTTCTACGGAATCGTGTTTGTATTTCATATCTTTGATCTAGGACAGAATCCTATTTTATCTTTTACATTCTTTAGAACAGAACTTTACAAGAATCCTACATAAGGTTTGCTCATTTCTGGTGTTGTGGAAGGGATCATGAGGATGGTCCTGAGAAAAGAGACATTAATCATATCATCAGAATCTCAGTTATTTTTGTTGCTGTTTTTGTTGTAGTTATCTATGATTCACTCAATATACTAAGCTATCCTTGAGGATACTACCTCCATCTCTCTAGGAGCTGTAGCTATTGGACTACTTAATCGTATTTGTTGTTTCAAGCAGGTAGATGTTAGTGAGCTCTTCTCATGATTGCATGGACTTGTTATTGTACTTTCCATTTGTAACAGAGTGACAAAGTCTCTGAGATTTTCTGGGACATACAACCTCCAGACATTCAGTTAAGTATGCTCAGCTACCTAGGCACAGTTTCTTCAACCCACAGATGCTTCACCAGCACTTTATCTGCCACTGAACTACCAATTTTTCTGCTGCACATTCTTATTCCCAGAAGGTTATCTGCCCATGGAATTGAGCACCTGCTCTGCCACAGGTGGGTGTTTGGATTGACCTTTCAAATAGAACTGCTTCTGTCAGAACTTTCAGTACAGAGAATAAAGCACAATGCCATGTTCCCAGTGTGACATGGTGTCACCATGTGACTCCAAGTGAACAAGTGAGAGGCAATGCCTTTAAAATGAATCCACCCAGCCAGCAACCTCCTCAGCACTGGGAAAAGACCAAACTGCCTCAGCTGGTTCCTGAGCTACTCTTTATAGAAAATAGAAGCCAGAGGAGATAAAAAAAATGAGGAAGGAGGATGCTGCGGACTAATAAAGGAGAAAAGACTCTTGGATGCTTTGGCAATTGTTTCATGCCTTTTAAACCAAAGAACCCACCCATAAATGTGGGGTATTTTGTCATTTCAGAATTATTATTGTAAACCAAGATTTCCATGTTGATCTAGCAACAAAATTAACTCAAATAATCAATTTATATCCTAATTAACAGAAAATTATGTGAGCTAAGTGACATCCGGGTTGTTGCACTAATGAATATCTTTTCTTGGGTAAACAATTGATTTTCTTTGTATTGGTTCACTCGTCTAGCATAGATAACCCCTAGTCCATTCTAGTTCTTTCATTTTATGATTCTGTGATTCTTTTTTTTCCTCCAGGAACAATGAACAACATATTCTCCTTACTGAAAGTCATCTTTAAATTACTGCCTTAACTGTGGGATGAGACTGGTTTTTAATCTCTCATTTGAATCTCTGTGCTGAATTGCAGAAAGTAGGTGTTTGAAAGCATACATTTTCGTATTGATTTCCTTCCTGTTTTTTTTCCTTCTGCTGTTAGCCTTCCTCTCAATAGGTGGTGCTCTTTTCTCAGAGACATATTCCTCACCCAAAGATCAGAGGAATCGGTCTTATTTTAAACAATCATTAATTAAGGAAATCAGACAAGCAATTTGCAGTACCTTGGGAACAAAGGGATAATGAGGGAAATGATCTTTCAATGACCTGAGCACTCTGTTGAAGCCTGTGACATGTGTGCTGGATAGGTAAAGCAAATATTGTAACTAAACATGAAAGTGCCAAGCTCATGATGCCACATAACCTTACTGGGAAGAAGGACTTAAATCAGGAGCCATTTTAAAGTGCTGGGATAGCCATCTACTTTAACAAAAGTGGGTAGGTAAGTATTCCACACTAACAGGCAGAATCTGAACATGTAACTCAATACCAACACAGTAACTCAGCACAACACACTGAACAATACCTTGCTCAGTCTTTGCCAAATTCATCTATTACACCCCCAAACAACAGGAAGTAGACCTCAAACTCTTTGGAAGTAAAACAGAGACACTTTCCTCTCCAGACCATCCTGAACAGCTCCCCGTAATACATAACGTTGTTGCTTTTATCATCCCTAATTGACTTCCACATTTGCAAGCACTGAAAAATTGTTATGCCCTGTAGATGCCCTGAGATACCCAGCAATTCCAGATGTCACTCAGGACTCCCTGAGCAGATCTGCAGGAAGAAAGTGCAAAGTGGGCTTAAACATCACAGCAGCATGCTTGCCACATCCAAGCCACCCTGCCCTGCAGAGATCAGGAAAGCTCCCTCCACCTGGTGTAGCCTCAGGATGGAAGAAGAATAAGAGAAAAACTCTCCAAACACAGGAGAATGGGTGGGGGCTGTGGTCCAATCTAAACCAGCAGGGCTGAGAAAGTTAGCAGAGTTTATCTCTTTAACCTACTAAGAAGCCTCTGCCCTTCAATTAGGGAAAGCTAACTAGATTTTTTTTTTTTTTTTACCTCTCACTCTTCACAACTCACTGTTCTTGTAGCTCATGCAGAGGGATGATTGGGACTCTTAGCTTAGAATAAGAAAGCGATCTAAGATGAAGCCCTTTCCCCCGCCCCCCCAACCCATATCTTAAAATCTTTGCCCAAAGAAACTTCTTGGTTTTGGAATGTTGAACACTGCTTTATCAAGGGAAGGGGGGGCGGGGAATCCAGTAAAGTAAAATTTCACACACAAACAGCAAGTGCTCTATCCAAGTCACCCCATCTTTGTACCCTGTTTCCATCCCCTCTGTCCCTCACAGACTTTGTCTCCTTCCCCGCTGTGGAGCTCTGGCGGCGCTCAGGGCATTCCTTACCTGACGATCACATACATGACCAGGAAGTTTCCGAAGAGGCCCACTACGCACACGATAGAGTAGAGGGCCATGATGGTTATGGCTGTGACCATGGAAGGACTGCCGGCCGAAGGGCACAGGCTGTCGCTCCCGCCAAGCCCGGTGCGGTTCAGACCGCATGGGTCGGACTGGTTGCCCTCTACATGGGACAAGTTGAGCCAGGAGGCAGGTGCTGGGGAGCAACTCGGAGCCAAGAGGTCGGAACAGTCGCTGGTGTTCCCCGGGTCGGTGCGGCTGTCCATGGTGCTGAAGGCCTGCCGTGGACTCGATATGGACAGTAACTGAGAGCACCAAGACTTTTTGGGTTTCACGATCCCCAGCCTCTTCCTCTCCCAGCTGCCTCAGCCCCGTCCGTTTCTTACACAGACCTGCCCTGGCGGAACCAGAGAAGAGCGTCAGCCAGAAGGGAACGCCTGAGCGTCTGATATTCTCCTCTGCTTGGAGCCCCCTCCCACCTTAGAAGTACACGGAGCCGCATCCCTAGCATCCCAAAGCACTGCTCCCTGGGTGGAAGGGAGGGAGCCTGTGAGGGATCCAGGGGCTGGAGAGGAGGGAGGAGAGAGAAGGCGTGGATTTTGCGCAAAGCAACTCTGAGAGTCAGTCTCCCCTGTCTCCATGCACTTCCGAGCAAACAAAACGAGTGTAAAGCGGGGTGCGGTGGGGGACAGAAACAGGGGCGTCGCAGAGAAGGGTGGGAAGAGAGGCAGTTAAGTTTCTTTGCAACAAGGGTGCATAAGGTAGGGGGTTTGCATGCCTGTTTTTTTCCCCAGCGCTGTTTTTCTTTTTCTAATCAGCCAGGGAAGTCATTGATCTGTTATATTCTCAATGACCCTTAAACCCCAACACTTTCCCACTCAAACGCCCAAAGCAATCAATGATTTGGCACTGAAGACCCACGATTTTTCTTCTTTCCCAAGATTCCCATCTCTGAAGCAAAAATATAACTCCAGTTTCTCAAATTTTCAGCCCTACACATCTATTTTGAAGCAACAAGGGTCTTTCTCTGAAAAAGAAAAATTTTGTGAGGGAAGCCTATTACTTGTGCCCCCATTCCCTCAATTTACCTTGTCTTGGGTGGTCTCTTTGCATCTGAATTTGTCCCAGGGAAGGGGAAGCACAGACATGAGGGAGGAGGGGCGAAACCCAGTAAAGTCCACTAATGACCACACTGCCTCTCCTAGCTCCTCTCATGGACCTGCTTAGAAAGATTTCTCCTTTAGCTTTTACCTTCCTTGGGCGGGGGTGGGGGGCGGGGGGCGGGGGTGAGTCACAAGCTTCTGAGGAGCAGGTGACTGAAATAAGAAGAAATTGAACTACTCTATTCTTTCTATGGTAGAGATTCCTAAAAAGACCCACGTGGCTCCTTTTGAGTGTGAAACAGCCCAAACAAGACCCTTGAAGAACAAGGATGCGTTAAAAATTTGATCTCATGTCTAAGTTCACAAGTGCTTCTGAAGGAATACAAGTTTAAATTCAACAGTAGTGTGTTTTCTTCTTCTTTTCATCCCTGTGCATGCACATGCTTGTGCATACCCATAGTTTTTAACTGTAAATATTGAAATTAAATGGACTTGATTGGTTGTGGGAAGTTTAACTGTATTCTCATAGACTGTGGAAAGCAAGCTTAGAAGGAACACGTAATTCCAATTTTACTTTTAGACATTCATCTTGAAAACAGATAACTCACAGCTAAACTATTAATCATAGACTTTGGGCCAATGTTCAGTATTATTTTTACCCTTTTCCATTAAAGGGTGTAATTTCAGCACTAATGTAGATAAGATTTCCCAGTGACTGCTAAAATACCTTTAAATGCATTATTCTAGGAATAAACGTGTCAGTTCACATGATAGAGCTGAAATCTGCGTGCTCACTCACTCATCGGTCTTCTGAGGATGCCCAGAACCATCCTCACGCCCTTCATGTGAAGATAAGTCAGCACACGGTGCTTCCTGCTGCCTTTGCTGTCCGATTGTTTGGTGATAGAGCCCTGTCATCTCTAGCAGTGTGAGTCTGAATAGGTTACTTTACCTTATTGAGTCATATTCAATGATACGTTCTCGTCTGAGATCAATATTTCCCTTCTATTTCTGTTTCTCATGCTTCACAGAGAGTAATGATCATCCTTCGATTACTCCAAATGAAATATTTTCTGAACACCATTTCATGTCTTCATCAATCTGTCTGTCTGTCTGTCTGTCTCTCTTTCTCTCTCTATTTTTCAATCCATTTCCTGTATGTCCCATTCATTTAATATATACTTTGAGAAAATGCAGACAAAAAAAAACTTATCTGCCAAATACAAGTGTTAAATTATTCCTGAAAGGTCTATTGAAAAGTTATATAGATATAATAGTTTCATGTCACTCAATAGACTATGAAAAGACCCCAAGTTCAACTTCTGTTATTTCTTAGCTTTCTCCGTAATTGCTCATTTCCTTCCAGAGTGATCTGAAGGTCTTCATGGAAGAAGCTTAAATCTTCCATAAACAGAGGCAGACTATTCAAAAATGACTCAGCAAACTGAAATCCTAAATATTTTATACAGCCTGGATTACCCATGAGACCTTTAATTTCCTAGAGCCATAGTATGTTGTCTGTGGGAATGTCTGATTTTTCACTGATGTTTCTTGTTGAACCTTGGTTTTCCATTTGAATCAAGAATAATTTATTACCTACTGGTCTAGATTTAATTCAATATAATAAAATTCACATAAGGAAACACTTTTCATGAAATTTTTTGCTTTAAAGAAATGCATTTAGTCACCATATGGATGGATCCTGAATTGAGCTAAAAGTTGCTCGATTTCAGTGTCTATTGGCTTTAGGTATTCATATGATGGCCATCAATGCACACCCATTTAGCAGTTTAGTCATGGTTGTTTTTGAGAGTGGCTGCTGATGGAACACCTGATTAACAGCCATTAATGAGAGCCAGAGTCATAAATACCATGTATGGACTAATAACAGTGGTCAGAAGCTCAGAAAAGGAAGGCCTTATAGGACTTCATCAGGAGAGCATGCTATGTGTTTTGTAGCTTATCCTACTAATAAATGTGCACAGCTAATAAGAAGGCAGTTGAGTTCTGATACAATATTATTTTTAGATTACTGGAATACTGCACGACCCTTCAATAAAATGGAGTAAGATTCCTTGGTTTAGAGTTTAAAAAATAAAAAGCTAAATTAAAAATAAAAACTCTTCACCAATTTCTATGTGCTAAACCTAAGAGGATATCTGAAGTTGAGCCAGTAAAATCCCTGAACTTTAAATATTAAAAGTAGCCCCAAACCCAGACTCTACTGTCTGTTTTCTTGAGACTTACATTCTTTGCTGTTAATTGGTTCCTCTTATGTAAGATAAAAGAGTGAGAATCAGCTACAGAGCAGTTTTCTAAGATTACATGTATTTAAAAGAGCATGCCCTTTGTCTTCAAGTTCAGTGTCAAGAAGAATTCTTGGAGATATTACAGGATATTTAATGGCACAAACTTATCCCTAAGAGGTTTTATCTTTCTAAGGGCCTGAATGTTCTAATAACAGTGTAACTTTCAGCCTTTCAAATAATTATTATGAATAACTAGCTTAAGTCATTAATTCATAGGACTGCATACCTTTCTTCAAGTATAGAAGCTCAGTTTTTAAAAAATTTGGGTTTCATTTTTCAATTTCTGCCTATAAAGGTTTATAGTCTCTTATCATTTTATTGTTGAATAGTACTTACTCTTTATCAGTCTCACTTCAGAACTATTGAGTACTCAAAATACTTCTGTTTATGCAGGTGTTATGGCATGAATGTAAAATATACCAAACTGTCTCACATGTTAGAGCCCTTGGTCTTTGACTGTTGATGTTGTAGACCCTGGAGCAGGTGGAACTTTGCTGAAGAAAATGGATCATTGGGGGGTGGTCCCTGGATTTATAGCCCAGCCCAACTTCTTGTCCACATACTGCTCTTTCATTGCAGTTACAACATGACCAACCACCTCACTCCTAATTACCATGCCTTCCCTGTCAGGTAGAACTGTATCCCCTTACACTGTAAGCCCAAATAAACCCCTCCTTTTAAAATTTGTGTCTCACCAGGTAATTGGTTGCAATAGTGAGAAAAGTACTTAATACAGTAGGTTGTGTTTATCATCATTCATCACATTAGATGTTTAAACTGAGAAATTTAGAAAACCACACTTCTTTATCAATTTAGTAAAACTAACAATACAAACATCACACAGAAAAATAAGTAATTTTATTTATTTTAAGGACTATCTTCCCCAATTTTCCTCTAGGAACAGGAAAAAAATAGTAGGAAGAATGATGCTATGCCCGGGCCATTCCTTTAACTGTATGGTTTAGAAGTAGGTAGTTAGGTTCTCATGCCTGATTCAGTCTCAATCAGGTGCATCATGGGTGGTTGAAGTATATAAAGACAACAAGAATGCTCGAATTTCCTCAGATAGGTGATTGGAAAGAGGAGAAAATTTTAGCAGTCTTTATAAATAATTGTGGCTATTTTCTTTTGGTACTAAACTCAGTTAGTACCATGTCTTCATTTCTTAATGGGAAGTTGGGTTACTGGAATTGAAGCCACACCAATGATTCTTAGCTCCTGTGGTACTTGCAGATTCTTCAGCTGGTCTCCTATTTTGAGTGAATAATCTACTTAATCATGACTTTGTAATATTGCCCAAAGGTCATTTAGGACTATTAGTTCATGGCATCCTATCACTTTCCAAATGTCAAAGGACACCATTCTACTAACAGCGATCCACACCATGTAGGAGAAATTCTCAATATTGTGATGCTGTTGAGCTCTTTTTATTTTTTTTTGAATATTTCCAGTTTTGTTGGGAAGCCAGAACTTCCTCATTGGTAATTAATGCTTTCAGTCCTATCAGAAGTGATAGACTCACCTTCTTCATTTTAAATAAAATATCAGCCAGACATATGGTTCTGAATATAGACAGCTGTCTTTCAATCATTCTTCAAATAAAAGTAGTGTACCATGGAAAAAGTACATGGTTTCCATTAGAGCTGTGACAACCTTCCAAGGGCTTTTCCTTGTGAATGGCTACCCTCTGTGGCTTGTGGTGGCCGAAGTGTTCTGTGTGTACTTCCTATTTCCTCACACAGCATGTCAGGCGTCATGATCTCTGTGTGTTTGTGTGTGTGTAATGTATATACGTGTAGTCTAGGCACACATGATGTACATGCAAGTGAGTATGCAGAGGCCAGAGGAGGTTGTTGGGTGTCCTCTTCTATTGCTCGATGCCTTCCTCTCTTTAGCTGAATCTGGAGCTATGCTGGAGGTCAGAGTCCCGGCAATCCTGCTATATCTGAGCTGCACAGTGCTGGGGTCACAGTACTCCAATGGCCACACCCAGATTTTTATGTGAGTTCTAAGGATTTGCACTCAGGTCATCGCACTTACACAAGTCCTTCCCCTTGCTGAGCCACCTCCTCAGCCTGCAATGGTTGAAATTTTATAAACTTAACTTTTGTTCATGCATTGATGCCATTTTCTCTTGCAGTTGTTGGTGCAAAAGGGATAAGATTCTCCCCAACAGTGTAACCTATTGTCGTTGCTCTTGGTTGCCCGCCAGGACTTGATGATAAGACCCCCTTTGCTGAAGATACCACACATTTTGGTCACAGGGCTTGGAAAACTGAAGTGGATACTGTTCTGGAAGCTTCCTTTCTGCTGGCCAGCTTTCCCAGTACCAGAAGATGCTCTTCAGGTCACTATGGGGAGAAGAGTGGTCATCAGTCTTTCCCAGCTGTGACTCCTGCCAGCTACAATAATGACCAGCCTGTCAAGATATATAGCATGAGTGTCATAGAGGTAAAAAAGCACTTTCTGATTAGATTTAAGGCCCCATCCGCAGGAAGAAACTCATCCCTTGTCTTGTAAATCTGGCCAAGAACTCGGTTGTAGAGCCCACAGAATCCATGGGTAAACCTACTATTGTTAGTTTGTTAATAGACATAGTATCAAACTGCTTTCTTGATATGAATCTCTATACAGGATAACGTTCAGACCTCAACAGAGAAGCATCTCTGTGCAGTGGGGGGTGGTTAATACAGAGGCTCACAACTTGTCAAAGTGCAGAGATGTATCTGTCTGGGGTGGGGCTTGTTTTCTTTTTATTGCACCGTGAATGTGAGGAAGACAGCGGTGAGTAGCAGGACAGAGTGGATTCACAGTGCTGGCAGCTTTATCAACCATGCTTTCCATATTATCTCCAACTTAATCTAATAAAAGCCACATGACTTTATAGAATTGTTAAAATAAATTTTTACCTTGTTGATTTCATGACTCTTAGAGACCTCCAGGGTCCATAAACCACATCTTCATGCTTATTAATTTACACCATCATAAAAATGTTCTGGCTTCTCTGTTTTTGTTTCCTGTTAATCCACAGAGCAGAGATGCATGGATGCCCCTGCTTAGCAGCACCCAGGTCTCTTTCCCTGAGCACTGGCTCCTGTACCCCACAGCCTTCAATGACTTCCCTCCACTTACACTAAAATCTTATTAACCTTCATATTTATTTTTGTTTGTTTGTACTTTTGAGACAGGGTTTTTTTCTGTGCAACAGTACTGGCTGTCCTGGAACTCACTCTATAGACTAGGCTGGCCTTGAACTCATAGAGTTCAGCCTGCCTCTGTCTGAGGGCTGGGATTAAAGGTGTGCATCACCATTGCCTGGCTTTAACTTGCATTCTTGTCTCCATTTCTCAGGGCTTCCCTCTTGGCTGTTCTTCCTCCCTGCCTCTCCACTCTCTCTGAAACTTCACACTCCACAGATCACAAGGAAATCAATAGGGATGGCATTTCTTCTAGCATTCAACTCTGCTTTCAAAGCATCATGCAAGCTCCTATGCACAGAAGACCTTATAACTTTACCTTGGATACCACAAGGCTGCCCTGTTTTTGAAAACTGGCTATTTACTTTGGTTTCTGTTTCTAAGCCAAGTCCTGCCTACTGTCTCTCTGTTTTCTCACAACCCTATTTATCTTCCATACTTTAATACCAGAACCTTTTGTTTCAGAGGCTATCAGGGACTTTAATAAGGCTAAACTTAACTGGCATTTCAATCTTTATCTCCCTTCTTGTTCTTCCTCTCTCCCTCTCCCCTCTCTCTCTCCTTCTCCCCCTCTCTCTCCTTCTCCCCCAAATCATTTATTATACTTCTAATTTTCCAGTTTTGTTTCTGTTTATCCTACGGTTTATTTTTTCCTTTGCTTGTATCTCACACAGGGTGTTTTCGGCGTTTTCCCCACTCATCTTCTCAGCATGCCCTTCATAGCGATCTCAAATCATGCTCATCTGTATTTTTGTGTATGTGGTGATGAAGCCAATCTATATCCCCAGCTCCGTCTTTTATCACAGAGAATAAGATTCCTATGTGAATCAGTTTGGTGAACATGTTCACTGGAGATACAGTGTGTCAACTATTCTCATCTTCCTGGAGCAGCATCATTCTCTTAATGGAACCACCATCCTTGTATCATCCCTCTATCCTCGGTACCTGGCAGTAGGTAAGGGCATTAACTCTTAGTTTCTGTTCATGGTAAAATTACATTTGAAATGAGGATAAGGGGCATGGCCATCCCCAACTTACGTACTTCACTGATGGTCTGTTGTTCGAAACATTCATAGATTTTACTTCCTAATAGTGTCTACCCCGTAGACCTTTGACATAGGTATTAAATGGGTTTGGATTAATAAAGTGCTAGTGAGAATTTCCAGCATATTTAAGCATGATGTAAATATTTACTAAGCAACATCATAGGCCATTTCCACTCCCTTCTCATCCCAATATTTAGTTACCAGGATCATTAACTTAGATCTTATACATGTACTCTTGGTGCTGGTTTCACTTCCCTAGTTTGACCTTTCCTGACGCCGATCCATCTTCCACCCCACACACTCACCCTATACAATGTCACTCAAATGAGACTTAGGAAACAGATGGGTGACAGTGTCACTGCTGACCCTGCTCCTTGGGTGGCTGTAACTTGCGGGGCAGAGCTGACATCCTGACATCTTCAGGACCGCCCCCAGGGCTGCACCTCTGCCACTCACTGTGCCTTACTCCTTTGAGTGCTGTCATAGTTAGCTTTCCAGTGCTGTGATTAACAATACCGTGACTACGTGCAACCTGGGGAGGCAAGAGTTCATCTCAGCTTACACACTCACTCCATCACCAAAGGAAGTCAGGGCAGGGACTCAAGACAGGAACCGAGAGGCAAGAACCGAAATAGAGGCTGTGGAGAAATGCTGCTTACTGCCTTGATCCTCATGGCTTGTTCAGCCTGCTTTCTTTATATAACACAGGGCCACCTGCTAAGGGGTGGCATTGCCCACAGAAGACTGGGCCCTCCCACATCAATCTACCAAGAAAATGCCTGAGAGATTTGTCTACAGGCCAATTTTATGGAGACGGTTTTCTCAGTTGAGAGTTCCTCCTCCTCCTAAATGACTCCAGCTTGTGTCAAGTTGACAAAACACCAGCCAGGACAAATGTGAGCATCTAGGAGTTGGCACACGTGAATACGGAGGTGCAAACATACAGTGGGTGACTAATGTATGCTGTGCTCCCTCATTCCTTGGTGTTTTGCTCGTTTTCTTTGCTGTTACATGGTAGATATTTAAGAATCAGCTGTTGGCCGTGGAGTACCATTTCTGCTGACAGTGTGGGCTAGCATGGGGGCGATGTAGCAAATCCTCAGTCATCTCTCAGCTGCCACAGGAAGGGAAGCAGTCTCAATGGGTGATCAAAAGCACTGTAGACACATGAGGAAGAGAATGTCAGAGCTTAATGCTCTTGTGCCATTTTTCCTTTTATAATAAAATTGGAAATTGCCCAGCTGTCAAAAATTTTTGTCAACATTAACAGACTATTTGAAATATTATTTAAAGAAACACAAATTCCTTCTTAGAACTTTCGATAGGATTAAAGTGTCAAAGAAGTTTTTTTTACCATTTTTTTCTTGTTGTTTGTGATGCAAAGGTAAAACAAACTTGATGATCTTAGAATTAATGGACAATTTCTCTGTGGCTGAGATACCTGCTTCTTACTGTGGGGGAGGGGGTCACATATTGTAGCTTCATCTGTAGCCGTCTGCAAGTAGAGGGCTATTCCAAGAAAACTTTGCCTTACTGGCTGTCTAGAACCCTTTCTTCTAGGAATCATGAAAGTAATAGATATGTTTTAATGCTATATTTTCATTCTGGATCATTCTTAGCTTTATAAAATGTTTCTTCTTCAGTGAAGACATTACACAACCAAACCTCTCTCACCAACTCCCTAAGTTCTGTAGAGTAGAGTATATCTGGGAGTAGAATCTCCATGAACTGTTTCTGCTTGTTTGTTTTGTTTTGTTAAAAATGAATTTGTTGGGGGGGAGGGGATACTGACATATATTTGGCTAATATTATGTGTTCTCGCCTTTAAGAGCATATAGTTACACATTGTCCTCCTTTCCAGGCAAATGCTAAGACTTTGGATTGAAGGAACCCGACCAAGCTTGTCCTAGGTAATACTACTAGAATATCCACAATTTAAATTCTTGGAAAGACAGACATGGGTCTTTTTAGAATCTTTTGTATAGTTCCCCGCCCCCCCCCCCCGAACTTAACAAAAATGTTCTAAAACCCCATGTCTCCAGACAGCTTGCCTTTTCTTTATTACAACTTAAGTACCTTAAAAGCAAAGACTAAGCTTTATAATTCTTTGCAAATGTGTTAAAATGTCTTTTTCTTGGATGAAATTTATACAGAGAGGAGAGTATCGGAAGTGGGTTAAGTATGAGCTAAATGCAATATATCAGACGTTTCCTAAACGGAGACCACAGACATTCTGGAACTATCCAATAGTGCTTTCAGCAGCTCTCAGGTGGAGATGTACCTACTTGTCACTGTTGACACGACATAAACTCAGCTACACCTGGTTAAATCTTCATTTGTTCTGACAGCAGCAAGTTGGTTTTCTGAAATTATAAGGAACTCATTCAGGCCAAGTTTGTATATTACTCTCAGATAATTTTTGTCTTGAAGATTAAAAAATATATACTCAGCTTTAAAGTGTGGGCATGGATCTGTTTCTAATTGGCATATCATTTTATAATGGCAATTTAAAGATTAGTTTTTGAAGAAGCAAATATTTCTAGAAATATACAATGGTACAAAATGATTGATTTGATAGACTACTTTCCTTTTGGCATCCAAATATTAGAATATGTAACTCATAAAAAAGAAAGATTCAATTTGTTGTATCAATATACATGCAATATGTTAGAAAACACCTTCTTACATGCAGTCAAATATTTTAAGGGGAAATCAATGCTTGTTCTCTTTCTCTCTGGCTCTCTTTCCTCTCTCCTCTCTCCTTTCTCTTCTCTTCTCTTCTCTTCTCTTCTTCTTCTTCTTCTTCTTCTTCTTCTTCTTCTTCTTCTTCTTCTTCTTCTTCTTCTTCTTCTTCTTC